TTAGTTAACAGGTCTGCTACTTGTTCTTCTCCAGGAATGTGTTCTATGAAGAAATAACCTTCAGCAAACTTTTCTCTAATGAAATTGTAACGAATATCAATGTGCTTAGGGCGTTTATGAAATTCGGGATTCTTGACTGACATTGTCATCTTCACTATCTTCAGATTTAGCATCTATGTCAGTAATTTTATTTTCGCTTAGTTCTTTATCCCATAACTTTTGCAAAAATCTTTTTCGTAGTCGCCTTAATATAAATTATGTTAAAGAACTGCACCAAAACAAAAATTAAGTTGCTTATTACATTTACAGAAAAACAGTGCCAATAATTTTGATAAATTGGTAAAAACAACGAAAATCAACACGTGGAGTGTGATAAACTCCAAAATGCTTTAAATCAATATTGCATCGTCAATAACTAACTGCTAACTGAATTTCTCATACTACCTAATAGATAGTGATATATTTGAAAGTTACTAAAGTGCTGCTGCCGATAGTTGCAATATTTCGGTGTTTATAGGGTTATTAATAGAGTTTAGGGTTTGTTAAACCCCATATATTGAATACAGGGTTAATTATACTTAACAACATCACATCTGCTTTTTTCTGTTCTTAAAAACTTTGAAATTTTAACCCCAAATCGTCTCATTATTTGTTTTTATTTATCTTTTGATTATTATAAAAGTTAAACCGTCCAAATTTTAATCTAAAATTGACCATTTTTTACACAAAAAGTTTTGAAATAGGTAAATAAAATATTTCTTTAAAGGATTTTGAAGCAACCATTTGTAAAAACTACAAACTACAACATTTCTTTTACTGTCCATTAGAACTGGTCGTTTCAATGTATTTACCAAATTTCTTAATATCAAAATACTACAAATTACGTGGAAAAATGTTAGTATAATCAGTAATATTCTAAAAAACATTCCTATAATTTGTTGGTTCCATATCAAAACATATTTTATATCAAATACAAGACTTTTTATTTTATATCTAAAAAAAAAAATATATTATTATCTTCTTGTGTACCTCGTATATAGTTCTAATGACATGCTGTGTGTACTGTACATATAAATATTGTGGTTCACATGTAAATACATTTTGTATTGAAAGGCAACATTTACCAATAACGCTAATTTCTAGGCATCGCATATCCATTAATTAGCTTTGATTGGTTTTCGGATGGTCGATCTGAAGTTCTGATTAGAGTTGAAAGTAGCTTGTAATCAAACTTCGGGTATAATAAATAGTGTTACGGTTAATAATCTTTAATGATAGTATATATGATCCTATATTGGATCGTAGATGGATAAATTATTTATTGGAAAATGTTTTGTATACTTTTTATTTCAATTTATTAGTTGCTAATTTCTGATGGAAACCTAGAGGCAGCCGTCCTAATAAAGAATTAAGGCTTGTTTTTTATATAAAAAAAAATTGTTGATCTGGTCATTTTTATTCCATTTGTGATTCCTATGATCTAGTTATTTGGTCATACAGGGTGTTTCATAATATATGCGTAGGACTTCAGGGCGTGATAGCTCGTCCAAAAATATGAAAAACGTCTCTATTAACTTATCCTCTAAAATGCACCATTTTCGAGATACAGAGTGTTGAAATTGAAAAAAAAAATTCTACGCCACTGGAAAAAGTACGGTTTTGAGATGCCCATTTGAACCACCAATGTTTTCTACACAAAAAAGGTACTCTTGGTCATACGCTCTAAAGTCGACCGTTTTCGAGAAAAATCAAATTTTGTTTTATTTCCAAAAATTGACCATTGAACATTAAAATTTGATTTTTCTCGAAAACGGTCGTTTTTAGAGCGCATAACCAAGAGTACCTTTTTGTGTAAAAAACATTGGCGGTTCAAATGGACGTCTCAAAACCGTACTTTTTTCAGTGACGTAGATTTTTTTTTAATTTCAACACCCTGTATCTTGAAAATGGTGCATTTTAGAGGGTAAGTTAATGGAATCGTTTTTTCATATTTTTGGACGAGCTATCACGTCCTGGAGTCCTGCGTATATATTATGAAACACCCTGTATACTAATTATTACTTAAAATCTCTTCTGTTCTTGTTTTGCTGTTTGTGTATGTGTGAAAAAGAATAGAAATGACATTTAATGAACCATTGAGCATAAATATGCTTTCTGGTTTCGTGGGTTTTTGCGGAAATCAACTCAATAGTTTTTATATAAATCAAAATTTCCTTGGTTTAATCGGTCAATGTTTTTATTTTCTATTGTTAAAACATTGTTGAAAACACTTATTTCACTTCCTTATTCTTAATTATTCTCCTAGCTTATCCCAAAGAGAATTCTTCATCCATCTGAAGATGTGAAGATCTCATTTCAGTAAATACATGGCATCTTAGCATTATAAGGTCCAAATTAAATTCCTTACTACCCAAAACATTTCAAAGTTTTTTAAAAAAGTGCTTTGAGGCTATTTTTTGTTTGATTTCTTCTGTGCAATCATTGTTTTCATTAACAGATGTTCTTCTATACATACAGTGTGAAACAGCCAAATGGAATAAATTCTGACTTGTAAGAAATATTTTCGCCGATGACAAAATGAAACATTTTCCAAAAAATATTAATTTCGTAGGAAGAGTCAAAATATTAAGTGATGCCTAAAAATTTAGCAAGTACAATGGAAGGTTAAATCAGTCTATTTAATTTTCTATATTTAGTATAGAAAAACAATTTTTGACATATGGGTAAGAATTTTGAAAATATTCTAATAATACATGATATTATAAGAATAAAATTGTAAGGGATTTGGTTTAGCTTAATTCTGCAGGAAAGAAAGAGGTCAAAACCTACTTAGGTATTAATATTGTAAAAATCGTGAGTTGTGAAAGACAGATTTATTTCAGGTTATTTTTAAATAGTAGAGGCATTTGCGTTAAAATATTTTATATAGTACTTGCAGTAATACTTGGTTTTTAAGAATTATACTTACATGGTATATTTCCGAGGTAGCACGTGAGGCTTTGTAGCACTTGTGGTTTAAAAACTATTTGAGATAGTTATGCAAATAGCCTAAATGTTTATTTAAATTCAATAATAATCATTTAAATTTATTAAATTTCTTATTTTTATATAAAAAATCTAAAATTATTTAATATTTTATAATTTTTAATTGTATTTATAAACTTTTTTTTTTAAACAAAATAAATAATATTTCTAATAATGTTCCTTGTCCTAACAGTATCTTATAATCATTAGTTTATTATAATTTACATTGTTTTACCTACCCAACACCAAACCCAACACGCTTATCTACTTCTATAATTCCTAGTGTCCAGGTTCTATCGCAAGTACCATAAAAAAGTATTATCGCAAAGTCAAAACTGTAATTAGCACTGCTTTAATTCTAGACCTAATTTTTGGGACAAAATAGCAGCAGGTCATAGACATATCAAGCACCAGCTCGAATATTCAGACATTTTTTAGGCAAAATACATATTAGGGTGTGTCATTTTTAGGCAATTTTTTTTTTCGCTGTTATAACAGAAAATCTAAAAAATAAAAAATTATGCTGCTCGGTAAAAGGTTCTAAGAAGTGCAATAGTGGCTTAGCTTATTTAAAAATTTAATTTCCCATTTAAATAGGATAGAAAAAAATGTTTTTTTTTTTCGTTTTAATTGGATTTTTTCCTATTAAATTTTTTTTTTAGAAAAAACGTTCTTATAGCTTCTAAAGTAAATTAAATTCTCTACAAAATAATTTATTTGGTCCAAGACCGTATAACCAGTAGTTTTGGAGTTATAGCGCTTCAAGTATATTTTGTAGGTGAAACAAGAGGTGTGTGCAAATTAAAAAAAAAAAAATACAAAAAAGTTTAATAAATCTAGCTTGCCGACAACATATTCATGAGTTAATTTCACGATGCGCTTTTGAGGTTTACTGGCCAGTCACTTTAGGTCCAAATGTAATAGTATTCAATAAATTTCAACAGTCATGCCAAATATTAATAAAAATATTTATAAAAATGATGAAATGGTAGCCTTGATTATCCATGACAAAAAAGATGCCATATGCCATCCTTGTCTTCTTCAAAATTACTTTGTTTAGTTATTTACCTCCTCGATCTAACAATTTCTATATGTTTTATTAATAACCACGTGGTGGCCTACGGCTTGTTCTCCGGCAGTTGTACTTACTATTTTTATGTGGGTTAGGGGAAAAATATAGAGAAAATTGTTATAAATATGTATGCAAAGTAAATATTTACATTTTTTTTTCACCTCTGATTGGAACTTCTCCCATGTTTTATTCAACACCACATGGTCAATTGTGGCATGTTCTTTGGCGATTATGGTTGCTATGTTGATAGACATTTTTTTACAGGTTTTCTGAACGGTCTGGCTCAAGCAGAATACGAGTAGATGTCTGATCATGGACATTTTCTGTTTATTGCGATAGGGATGAGTAGGGAGTGGAGGGGAGAGATAATTGAAAATTGATAAAAAAATATTTAAAATAATTTTGGTACATATGTATTACTAACTTATGTATTAATTTCAATTTACATTTCTTCTAATAATACTAAAATAATAAATATATATTCAACGTAAATTTTTCAATTATTGCATACATATATTAATTCAAATTTACAACTCTTCAAATAAAAGTCTTAAAAATATATCTAATCTATTTTCATCGCTACCATTATTTACAATATGCACTACATTCTGTTTTAGTTTGGCTAAAGTTTTTCACAGGCCATTACGATATTCTTGAATGTCTTTGTGGCTCCATGGTAGAGTTTTGACTATTTGGTATTATAATCCTTTTCTCATCGTATGTATATATCATGTAACTTACTTCTGAATGTATACATTTTTATAAATATCTTGCCCCTGCCTTCTACAATTTTTTACAAATCAGACATATTTAAATTATTCTTTATTATACATTTTTTCACGCCCTTCGCATTTTTACTCTCTTTCTCATCTAATTTAATATAATAGACCTTGGCGTTTGTACCTCAAAATAGACTGATAACTTGATTTGAATATTCATCTTTGAAATTCCCCAGCATTGGTTTGCTTACTGGCAGGTTAAATTTATTATCAGTCTCGTAATTGGATGTATCTAAATGTTCAATGTTTTTTGCTATAAATTAATTAAAATAATTTATTGTATTAACCTTAAGAACAAAACAATCCGTATCTCTGTAAAGCAAGAACATTTTATCGCCTAACTGTTTTTTTTAATGTGCTGTAATAGAAATCAAACATTCTTACTTTTGATAATTCCAGCACAGTACAATGGTTTGCTGTAACATATTTTAGTTCTACCCATATGTATAGCCACAAAGTGTTGTAACAATATGGAGCAAGACTTAAAATTTGGCCTAGCAATTAGGTTGTTTGCTTCCGGGGAATTTCTCTTACTGGCCCAATGGGTTTTAAGGTAAATATCACGCCTATCATTTACATTTTCCATAGTTTTTCCGTACACGCAATTGACCATGCGCTTAAAGTGATTGCTTTCGGATTTGTACTTAGCATTGTTTCTCATTTATGTATTAATAGATTTTTAATAATTATAACGTTTAATTAATAAATTAAAAATTTTAATGCACTAAAATGTATAATATAATTAAATTATTAATTTAAAAGTATTAAATTAAAAATTAAATTAAATTTGATGTCTATTTTTATAAAAGTTTGTATTTGAAGCGCTATAACTCCAAAACTAGTGGTTTTACGGTCTTGGACCAAGGAGGTATTTTTGTTGAAAATTTAATTTAATGTAAAACTTATAAGAACGTTTTTCCGGAAAAAAAATCCAATTAAAATGAAAAAAAAAATTTTTTGTTTTACTTAAATGGGAAATTGAATTTTTAAATGAGCTAAGCCGCTATTGCACTTGGAACCTTTTACCCGGCGGCATATTTTTTTATTTTCTTGAAAGTATTAGATTTTCTGGTATAACAGCGAAAAAAAAATCGCCTATAAATCACACACCCTATTATATATAAGTGTGGGAAATATAAATGGTACTTTTAGCAGGTAATAACCTGTATCATCTTACCAGTTGGACAAAATGGAAAAAAATACAATCTAGGGTATTTCAGATTGGTGAAAATATAGGGATAGTTATAAAAGGTGATTAATAAGATACAATGGAGCAAAAAGCCTTTTATAAATATATCTTAAAATAAATAATTACAAAAAAATCAAATAATGACATTTAAAACCCTAAATTTTAACAGTTGTATTTTCGTTAGCCCACCCTGTGTATCGGTTTATTTAGTTTATCATTTTCATGCGTTTTATTATAGTGATTGTTATACATTTCTACAACTATGGTTATTTTAAGTATCTTTCGTTCAAAAAAATAATATTGGTGTAATTATAAGTAAAATAATTCCTATTTGTGATTCAAATGCGTGCGTAGATCCAATTATTAAGGCTTATTTGCTAAATTGTACTTTATTAATCATCTGTTATGAAGTATCGAGGGTAGAAACAAAAACAGGTAAAATTTCTTAAAGAAATGGTTAAAATGTCCACAAAATAATTCTGAACTGGATATTTCCCGTCAGTAGGTTTTGATACTTTTTTTTATTGAGCAGTATGGCGAACCCGAATAAAGAAGATGCCATTACATCACTCTGCGTACTGGTATGCTCTTATCGATCGCCTTGAACAGAGTCAGTAGCGCCGCGCTGGTAAATTGATTTGTTTTGATTACAACACTGATTTGAAATCTAGCTGTTTTAAAACGTGAATTGTGACGTGCTGGTATGTTTATATATTCGGGTTCGCTACAGCTATGATTTCTTACGTTTTCGTGTAAAATATCAAACAAAGACATGATTTAATGACTCCATAACCAACCGAGCAGCAATGTGTTTTATCTGGTGCTTTCCTTCTCTCTATGTGTCTGTCTACGCCTGCTGTGTAATGTGCATGCGATGGCTGCCGAACACGTGACTGCCGTTGATGCCATCCAATCCGATTTGTCGTGGACCCGTCGCTCAGAGGACTATCATGGCTCAAACACGATCTTTCTCGTAAGCACGCTCATGTCGGTGGTAGGGGGTGTGTTCGTGGTATTCGCTACTATGGCCCTATGCTACAGGTCAGTCGTAGTACACAAAAACTTCTCGCTCTGTCTAAGGTTAGTGCGCAGGCTATACCAGGTAGAAATCCACGTTTTTTCTCAGCATCCGTTACATTTTTCATTATTGCGATTATTTTGTATTTCTTTAAATGTTGACAACGCTTATTCAGTTGCGTTATGCTGAAAATATGACATGTCGGAATATTAAAACTGAAAATCTTGGCTCTCAGCTTTGGATTAAATTTTATTATCACTACCAATTTACCGAAATATGCACCTATGAAAAAAAAAAACAAAATAATTTAACCTCTGAGTCAATTAAACTATAGGGCTAATGTTAGTTAATCTGTCAAATAAACCTACATGTTACTGTAGTGTGTATCTGACAGTGAGTTTTTGGCATCAGGAAGCATGGTCCTCAGCTGCAAAAGTTATATAAAGAACAAAATATTTATTTACATGAACTTAGAGGTGAAAAGATCGACCCTTAATCTATTTCCAAAATTAAATACAAACAAGTAAAAATGGCTTTCCATTCATGTAGAAAAACCATAAGCAAATCCCTTATTTTTCAGACCACAGCGCTTTAGAAACTCAATACATAATCCTAACATAACAAATATGACTTTTAAAGCTAATAAATAAGATATTTTAATGCCTCAGCTGTCACCATGTTGACAGGCAGTAGTCTGGTTCATTCTAGATATATAGGGCTATATAACCATAGTATTTGTAATTCTTACATACAAATATCTTTACAGTCTTCTTAACAGCTTTGCCAAGGTATTTTGAATCGATCTCATTTTAATTTGGTAATGATTTTAAGAAGCAAACCAAAAAAAGAAGACATTGCTAGATTAACAGAGGCATATAATAAGGCAAGTTAAGATACATTTTGAAATTCTAATAGATTTTTATTTTTTACAAAACTTGTTTATGTTGGGCAATGTAGTAAAAAAGTCGATTCTAAATTTTATAATGCTTAAGTTACAAAATAAAAAATATATAGAAATGCTAGTAGATTTCCTTTATATGATATTAGCCTCAAAAGTATTAACAATAAATCCTAACACAATATAACAAAAAATACAACTGTAGTTATTTGCAAGAAAAAAAGCTCCTGACAAAATAGATGCCTTGAATTGATGCTAGAACATTTTGACATTTTGACTTGATCACACTTGCCAAATGGCACCTTAAGCTACGATTTGTTTTCCACTAAACGGACAGTTAAATTTATGTTTCGTTTATGTTTTCTGGAATTTGAAAAACATACCTATGATCTAAATTACAGAAACAAACTTTGTAACAAAAATATTTTACAACTTTATTTTGGGCTCTCCTAAACAAAGAATGTATCAACTCCTCTTCGTATAGCTGTTTGTAACCCATTTCTGAATCTGTAGATTTCTAAATATAAAACTGTATCAATAAATAATCTAGCTCTTGTTGAAACATCGTCACCAATAACACAAACTGCTAGAGTTTGTAAAAATACTTCGGTATAAGTTGCATTTGAAAGGAATAATATATACTGTTAATTGTGGAAGGTCTTATAACTTTCATATTATAATCAGTGTTGGCTTTTTACCAAAATAGGGGTAAACAGTCATGCTATACCTTTCTACATCTGTCATTGTGAATCTTCTACATTTGGGTCACTAGTAGCCACTGATTATAGTATTGGGAAAAAAGTAAAAAGTTCTTTTATTTCTTTCAAATTAGAATTTTTTACAGAGGTCAACTGTTTAAAAAAGTCTTCATTATTTAAATATTTATATTAAATGGTACAAGGAGAGCTTTTCCTAAACCTCAACCATTGGATTTTGGAATCAAAAGTGTTTCCATTAGGTTATTCTCAGGTGGAAATATAATTTTCTATAGAGGAAACATCAGACAAAACTTTAGTCTCTAGTCAAGAAATGTTAGAGTAAATATTGGTCTTCGTAGAGGTCATATCAAAAGACAGTTCGATTTTTAAGGAAGAGATCTTACTTTTGATATCAGAAGAAATTAAAGAAATTATAGCAGAAGATGCATTATCCGAAATTAAATACGTTTCCACATTCAAACCTGCACTTTCTATTGCTTCTTTAAGACGTTCTGCAGCTCTGCTTTCTTCTATGTCATCTTCAGATCATGTTACTCTAGTTTATTTCGGCTCTATGTTAAATCCTAATGTTGTACTCTTGAAGACGTTCAATCCATATAACGATTTAACCCTATGGGTTGCATGATTCTTACGGATTAAAAATTTTCTTTCGTCTACTTACTGGCAGAAGTGTTTCACGCACTCCACAACTTCTTTTCTCATAAAACAATAATTTTGCTCAGGTTTCAAGAGAACTTTATTTACTAAAGTGGCTCAGTACTCTTGCTTTCCTCCTCTGAATTTATGAAAACACTCCTCTGGTGTTAGTATTGACACTGTTGTTAAATGCTTCTTTAATGTTTCAAATGAAATATGACACTCCCAGCAGAATTCGTTTCTTCTGTGAGTCATGTTAATACCTGCGAAATTCTTTATAAATCTTCCAAGAAAACTTCTCATTTGAAGCCATTGTTTGATAGAAGCCACTTTTTTATTATCTACAGCCATGCCATACTTGCTAACTATGTGATCCAGGTAAATAACTTTATTTTGGAATAGCTAGGGGTATAGCATCAGTTAAGCATATTAAAGTTCTTCAGATGTTCATCAAATGTTTTCCCCAAGACTATTATGTCGTCTAAATAAACCAGGCATGTTTTTCAGGATAATCCTCTCAATACGTTTTCCATAAGTCTTTCAAATGTCGCGGGGGCATTACATAGTCCAAATGGCATGACATTAAATTGCCACAATCCAGATCTGGTGGTAAAAGCTGTCTTTTCTTTGTCTAGTGGGTCCATTCACACCTGGCAATATCCAGACTTTAGGTCTAAGGTAGAAAATAGTTTACTTCCGGCCAAGGTATCGTCGATTCGAGGCAAAGGGTAAGTGCCTTTCTTGATAACATTGTTCAACTGACGGTAGTCTACACAGAACCTCGTAGTTCCAACATTTTTCTGAACAAGGACTACCAAAGAGGTAGAAGGTTCCATCTCCTTGTCTTCTTCCATTTTGCAAACAATTCTTTTTAACTTCTTCTTTCTTGGCCTTTGTCGAATTGGTCTGGCATCACCAGTGTAAATTATTGTGTTTTACAACAGAAGGTCTCTCTGTTTTTCATCCATATGGTAGAAAAAGTCACGATATAGTCAAATAAATTTCTTTACTTTTTTTTCTTCTAATTAATTTAGAGATTGACCAGCGACTGCAATCATTTACTTGTATTTGTCATTAGAATTATTGGAAGTTGTTGTCTGACGAATTATGGAAGTTACTGGTATACAGATTCTAATTGTGGCCTCTTTCTTGATGGTAACGGGGTGATCATTAACGTTTATAAAAGTTACTGGAATTTCTTTAGCAGTCATTACCAACCTCTTTTCTTTCATAGTTCTTCTATAGTTTCTTCAACATTACTATTAAAAACTATTTTAAACCAGCCTAGAAAAAGCCATCATTACAAAATCGTACATTTAGAGTAGAATAGATCATTTGTACTAATTATAATGCATAACATTTGGAGTCAATGAATGTCAATATAGTGGATATTAAAAAAATATTTTTAAAGTTTGTGACTTAGGAACATTTGCATCAGTAAATTTTAAGACAAGCTAAGCCTAAAATTAATTTTAAACAGTTCGTTATCGCTCTCATAGGCTCACGATACAGGGTGATCCCAACGTTGTTAAATCCATTTAATGTCATTAAAATAAAAATTTATTTTAATAAGTTTTTCAGAAATAGAAAACATATAGACCCAATTCATTAAGATTTTCATATTTTTGAGGTTATTTGTAAGGAGTTATTTAAAAAAAACGATTATTTTAATTACTTTTATACAGAGTTAACTTTGGAATTACCATATTGTATTGATCCCAACACAAAATGAAGTGATAGGTATCAATATAAATTTTCAAACACATTCTTTTATGGCCTTAATACAAAACTGTAGCTCTATGTTAGAATTTATTATGATATAAAAATATGAGGTTCCACATAATTATGAGTGTCATATAAATGCCTAAGCCGTCTTTGAAGAGCCTGCCACCCGACTTATGATCGTAACACCGCTGAGGTATAGAGACAAACACACCGCTTCTCGAATCTATCAGTAAAAGCAATACGTTGTTGGTGAGTCATAGAGATAGCACTTTCGGGTGACATTCGAAATGGTCTAGAAACTACGAGTACAGAGTGGGCTTTGTATAATCATGAGTAGGGTAGCAGGCTTCAAGGCCGCGCTCTACAAGTACGGCTTGGGCATTCCCATGACACAAGGAAATAAATTAGTACTTAACAGAAGTACACAACTACTTCTTAATGTAAAGAGAAACTAATATTGTAATAGCAATTTAAAATAAATTAAAGACAGATACTGTGTGCCTAGATTTTTTTAAATGGTGTAATAGTAATGGGACATCATTCTTGTTGTAGTTATATAAAACCTTAAATTAGTAAACCCCATTGAAAATATTAACCCATTTAAAATTGTCTTTAGAAAGTAAATTGGTAGGTGATTCATTCTTTTATTTAAAATGAATATTGATAGTATGTACATTTCAGTTTTACATTCCTGTCGTATTAAAATCTACTTTGTATTTTCTAAAATTTTCAGTTGCCTTTAAGCTATATAGATGCTTGTAGCTTTTGTACTAAAAAGTGGCCGAGTTCAAGGTTTCCATTTTTAAACAATTCTAGAACATGTCTAGACGATTTTTTTAAATTATATTTATGCTTCAAAAAATTTATATCGTTTATACAAAATTAACTGCATTCATTATTTGCTAAAAACTATTTAGAAATCATCAAATACATATATGACGATTTTTATATCAAATTGTGCATATTCTTCGTTAACTGCTTCGGATCTGAGATATTCAGGTTTTTTATTTTAGGACGTCGTCCATATTTCTTTTAATTTGGGACC